GAGAGGGAGAGAGGGAAGAGGGATTGCGAGCTTGACGCAGGAAGGAAAGAGATATTATATATAGTTGGAACGGCGGGGAGACTGGGTGCGAAACAGGATATTTTAATTTGCGAAGTAGCGACAGGATAACGATAGTTTAGCGCAACAACAAATTCACTCCCGTTCTCCTATTTTACAGTTTTACGTTTCATTGCGCTAATTTCTTCACCGCCGTTCCGCGACTGGCTTCGCGATTGGAATCGAGGCACCGTCCTGCGCGCCCCTCACTCCTTCGTCTAACATTTAATTAGTTCGGCTCCCTCGGCGGGCCGACTGGTCGGTTTATTATTGTTCTCAGCAGGCTTCAAACCGAATGCAATTGGCCGCTGTGTAATTTTCTCGGTTCGTCGAGTACGTTCTGCTTGAGGCCAAAATCTTTTAGACCAAGATTCCCATTTCACTTTACGCGCTATGAGGATACGGTTTTTATATTTATGTAAGGCGTCTCTTCTCGAGACATGATATTTATGTGGCATTATAATTGATGATTTATGTCCATTTCTACCAACGTAGATTAACTTTAATCTCAGTTTAACTTATATTTTCTATCTTTTTCTAGCTCTTAGAACTATTTAGGAAAAGATGAAAGGTAAAGTTAAACCAAAATTAAAATTAACCTGCGTTGATAGAAATAATTGACATCAGTCCCGAGATCAGTCCCGTCATTTACTTCATTTTTATTACTTTCTTTCTGTTCTGCTTTAAAATATTTTTGGGATTCCATATTGGAGACTGTGTTAAGTACTTATCTCAGATGCACGTGGGAAGTATTTGTGCGACGCCATTGGATATCTATCGATCTTCCTGAGACGGAATGTAATTTTTTGCAGCGTTCTCTCGGGATGTATGGAAGCCGTCTCATCCGTCCGAGATGGAATTCGGAAGGACAAGCAGAAGCACGGTTTCGCCCGTTTCGAGAACGTTCCCGAGGGCAACGTTCAGATTGCTAACGTTCCCGGAATGAGCGGACGAGAGGCTGACGACGACGTCGAGAGGATAAAGCAAGTCGCGAGTGCAGGTAGATTCGAAAATCCCTTATACAGGTCCAAGAGGGACAAGATGGAGAAACGTAAGATTTTCGATATAGACGCGCCTCTCAGCCTTACTACTCTAAAAAGCAAGATAGAAGATCAACTGGAAAATGAGGAGATGGATACTGAGGAATAAGAGTAAGAGAAATAAGGAAATGTACTTTGTCATTATTAAATTTATGTTATACTATATAGCTTGATACATCCGTGCTTCGCTACGCTATGCGAAGGATTCTATAATTCACCTCCGAATTTAGATTTGCCTCTTAGGGATTGATTAGGGCAAAATCTTGAATTATGTTTTAAAGTACTTGTATGTGTAACCTTTGTAAGCAAAAACCAATTCGATATCTCATTAATTGGACCTAAGAGATATTGAAAAATCCGTGAAAACATATTTTACCCTTTTTCATCCCCTTAGGGGTCGAATTTCTAAAAATCCCTTCTTAATGAGTGCTTATGTCATGGAAGGAATATACTCCCCGAATTTCATGTTTCTAGGTTTAAGGGTTTGGGCTGGGCGTTGATTAGTCAGTTGGAACATTCGATTAGGTATATATATATATATATATATATATATATATATACGCCGATTCCAATTTTACCATCCCATTTGTGGAAATGTTTCGTTATAAAATGATAATATAAATTATAGTTTGTTAAGATTTTAAACATGGCAAAATCAAAGGAACAGAAGAAATATTCATTTTTACAGGGAAGAAATAATTTCGAATACATTAGGGTGCAATGCGAATATATGTAAATCATATAAAGCGTACGATATGCTGGTTCACAAATATTTATTACTTATTGTCGGACAACATCCATTCGAAGTTGCAGGACCCCGCGGTACATTGACGACGTGGTACTGCGCTTTATATAGACACGTTATACATGCACACGTAAATTCGACATGCGTCGAATAGGATATATATTTATATTTATGTTAGCTTTGTTAATATGTATATATATATTTATATATTCTCTCTTTTTCTTTCTCTCTGGATAAATATATACGCCTAGTACGTGATATAAAGATGTATTAACGCTCGCATGTGAGAAATAAATGATATATCATGATAACGAGAATGGTAATAGTGATAAATTCATGTATCAGATAACTATATATGATTTCCTTCGCTATTGAACGTTTGTGTAATTTGTCGTAAAATATAGTCATCTCTTATGAATGTATAATGTTAATATATGTATATATATAATTAACTATAAAGCTCTATTCTCATAGAATATATTAAACTCTCTGCTTTCGATAAAAATCATTTCTCTGTCGCTTTTGTACAGACATGTAATTATTTCTTTATCATACGCATGTGGTAATTAAAAACCATATGCGTATGTGTAATGTGTATATGTGTGGTCTGTGTGCGTGCCATGTATACGCAGAAAAGATGAAAATTCCTAGCCGATAGCGCTTATCAAGTCTGCGAAGTATGTACATCGAAAGTGCCTTCACATTCACATTTATGTTATAGATTACTATCATTTGTTTATTGACTGCCTCATTGACTTTTATCCAACAACATATCCTTCAGAGCAGGTCTCTTCATCAATTCTTTTATAAAAACTGTAAAAATAATTAATTTAAAATTATCTTAAAATTCAATCTTTTCGTAAGAGTTACGCGTCTTTATGTATACAGCGTGGCTTAGGAAACGAGAAATTAACATTGAGAGTGTTTCCTTCATAGAGATATAAGAATAGAGTGCGCGAGCGAGCTGAAAAAGCGATATAGGAATAGAAAGAGAAAGCTGCGCAGAATAAAAAGAGAAAGCTGCGCATGGGCCCCTTCTGTCTTTGTTTCGCATGCACGCGTAGACAAAGACAGAAAGGGCCTATATGCAGCGTTCTTTTTCTATTCCTATATCGCAGCCTCTTACGTGCTAGCATATGACTGGCGCACTCTATTCTTATATCTCTATGGTTTCCTTTGATGAATTTGAAATCGATTTTAATTTAAGTTCTGGCTTATAAGTATATATATGTATAATAATTTATTTTTATTAATTAAATATAATGTGTGTGTGTGTGTGTGTGTGTGTGTGTGAATCTCAAGAATAGATAGATGAAGATTCCTTATGGCCATGCTATATACGTTATTTTTATAATACAAACGTATTTTACCCTGCATTTTTAGACTCATACGATAAAAAGATCAAAAAATATGTCAATCGATCAAAATATACGTTCCGTATTAAAGAGATATCGACGCACAATGATAGCCGCGATCGTTCTGTAGACACTCATGCGAGGGATGTGTGACCATTTAATACACATACTATCTCCTGGACACGCGATACGACACTAAACTTTACTATTTATTTGGCAATTATGTGAAGCAGAAGAGAAGGGGGAGCGAGAAGAAGAAGAAAAAGTCTTCTTGTCTTACACGCGTTGGTCCCTTTCCACAACTTTCATGCGGTAAGTATAGTCGAGTGTTCTGCCACTATCGTGCGACAACACTTCTTGCGCGAACTTACGCTAATCATGAAACAAAGTTGCGAAGAAAAACAATTAAAAGTCACAATATTGTTTGGTACGTAATATACTAATGACATTTAATATCGATTAGCTCGAATGAAATTCTTTTTACATCACAACTAATGCAGCTTCACGTTTGAAGACACCAGGAAACCGTCCTATATAATTTTCTCGAGCGCGATCATATCTATACCTATATAAATGAGGCTAAGAACTTGCTGCTCGAATAGTTGATTTCCATTGCCTTGCAAACGTAACAGCGGAATTCAACGATTCTTCGTGGACGAGCAATATGTTCTACACTCGCAAACTTATATTTTACAAACATTTCAACTACGCGTTTTGAACTAACGCAAAATGAATTATCATCATTGTGATCGATCTTGGAGCCTTATTCTAACACACGTTTTAGCGTTAGTGATAGTGCCCTAAAAGAATAGTACACCGTCGATTTGACGCGACTGTTTCCTTCAAGTCGAACTGCATGATAATCTTATTGCACATACAGCTAAATATCTTCTCGTAAAACGTAAAATACAATAATTTCGTCGACTGCATCGAACTTTTACATTTACACAAGAACATACTTTCTTACATAAGACGAATAATCGTACTTTCGTTTTCCTTTCTTACATATAAAATATGTCATATGGTTTTGTTTTGTATACAGGCCAATCCATTGACAAAACTGCGTCAAAGTTTATGTACCGCGTCAAGAATTATGTACCGATAAATACGCTATTATGAACCCCAAAAATATTTATTTGGGTCCCAAACGATTTAAAACTACTTTTGCAGCACAAATATATGGAATAATCAAAAGGCCGTTTACATCTAGGTGTTTTTTTGAAATTCCTCGTTGCATCGAGTTTGGCAATAACCAACAACCAACTGCTTTTCACAACATGTAAATATCGTGGATCAAATATCCAAATCCCATATTTTCAAAATATTTTCGTCTTATTGAAATGTAAAAAAAAACTCAAACTAAATGTATCATATAATTGCGAGAAAATAAATTAGCCACCTATATATCTTTTGGTTCGCAATATGCTGGAAGAAAAATGGAAATAAATCCGCAAAGGCACTCCTGGCGAAAATATGTTGATTTAACGAAAGATGATGTACATATAGTATATTAGCATAAAATATTTAGTTATTGAAAGAATTGAAAGCTGTTGCAGCATTCGGGATGTCTTTCATAAACCTTCAATCGCGATAACACTACAAATGCTTCATCGTGTCTTGTATGTGAGGAAGACATTCTAGGAATGTAAAGAAATTGCACTAATCCCTAAAAAAAAATATATCTTTTTAATTCTGACCTGTGACTTGGCAATAAAAACACGCCATTTTTATCACCTCGTAACAATTAAAGGAATTAATATATGGAAGAACAATTTGATGAGTATAGATAAATCTATATTAGCATCCGTGAAAGATTTGAGAATCTACAATCTTTTTCAGGACTTTTTATAATTTTCAAACTTTGTAACAATATTAAATTGCTTAGTCATTTTTTGTGAACATTATCGCAAACGTGTAGTATTCTTCGGATCAAAAATTATTTTTGGGGAGAGCAATTACTGTAAATCTTTTTAAAAATAAAAATTTGATATCAAATAAATTTGGGGTATTCTAAATAGAAATGAATATATCTAAGATTGTTGTAGCTGCAGCAAGTTCTGAAGACGTTCTAACTCCTTTACTAGCTCGCGATTCATATTTTCTAGAGAATTCAGCCTCTCTCTGTACGAGGAATTCTCGCCTGTCAACAAGGTGACTCGGTTTTCTAAATCTTCCATGTATTCCTTCTTCTTTCTTCTTGATTCTTGCGCCGATATCTGCAAAAAGTACCATGTAAAGTCAACATCTTTCACGTCACATTCGTAATTTCGCAAGTTGGATAACATTTGAAGAGAATTTGAATATCCAGATTACATTGTTGTACATGCCTTGTTCTTGATCTTTCTTCGTATTTTCTTCAGAGATTTCTCCTCTTGTTTCGTCAGAGGAAGCTTCGTGGGCACGGAAAATCCTTCGGCTATCAAGGTTCTCTTCTCTTCCTCCGTCAATATTAACACCGTAGATCCTTTCTGTAATGTCAATCACATATAAGTGCGTCACGCTAATATACTGAGTCAATAAATATGACAGCAATAAAATGTAAAACATTATCCATGTGAAACTCATCCATAAAAGAACTTCAAATTTATTAATACAAATTCAGTCATCTTACTGACTAACGATACTCGATTATATATGTTGATAATGTAAACATGAGGTGTGTAGAGGTGGGCGTGGGATATGCATCATAACTTAGAATACTGAACCAAATATCAATAAAAATGTCTTTAAAGTTATTTTAAAAAATTTTAAAAATACACAGGCAAAGATAGACCTAGATAAGGATATGAGAGAAGGATTCATAAGAAATTATCAAACTCTTCAGACTTTGTGTCTTACCGGCTGACAGGAAATCAGAGGCGTATGAATGGGTTGTCTGGTAGTGTGAGTAGTGCCGTTGGTGACGTAAAGCCTCGGTGTCAGCAAGCCTCTGAGATTCTGCGTACAAGTCTGGGAATCTCGGCGTTCGGGCGAACAGGAAGCGGAAGCGGTACCCTCGCTGTCGGAGCTTATGCTACTGGGCGGCGTCGGCGGCAATCCCTGTCTCGACGCGTGCAAGGTCGCTTCCTTCCCCTCGCAGACCATGCCGTACTCCTCAATCTCCATATTCTGGAAGTAAGTGACGACGATGACGATAAGAAACTAATGAAGAATCGGTATATTCAAATAACAACGCGTAGTTCGAACACAATAAATCTCACTAGTTCTTGCTCATAAATCAAGCGAGTCTATATACTGTACCCTTTTCCACGAGCATTATATTCTCGAGCAGTTGAGACTAATGTAGATAATATACAGTTGGATAAAACCTAATGCCGAAGAGTATTTTATCGCTCGAGAACAATCTGATGCCTGGCGCAATATTGATTTAAGTTGAGATACCTGATAGTACTCCTCGTCATCTTCTTCGCTGTCACTCGTGTGCGAGGGATGGGTTTTGGGAAAATGAAGACTCTGCGGCGACACCATTGTTATCGCGCTCGTATCGTCCACTATATCGCAATTTGGTTGACAAGGCGCGCAGGGACTTGCTGGCGCGCTGATAGGTTCGTCCTTGATCTCCGGGTACTCGTTATCTTCAGGTACTAGATTGTTTCTCTTGAGGATTGCGCTCGAGGTAGATGACGACGTCAGCGGCGACGACGATGACGATTCGACACGGTTCGAAGTGCTACTTATCGAAATAGCCGGAAAACATTCTTCTTCCATATCTGAAAAAAATATTTCAGTGATAATTTCTATCTCTACAGTTCCTCCGAAATTATTGTTAAAGAAAAAACATGACGAAGAATTTGTGAATGATAAAATTATCTGTTTTTTCTCAAAAGGACGAAGACTGCCACACAATACGTCATTTCCTTACCATCCATTCTGTCGCGGATATCGAGAGACTTGTGATCCAGATTGGCGAAATCGATGGAGGAACTAGTAGTCGCTGTAGAACCAACCGCGCCAGAACACGAATTCGGCGTATGAGGATTATCTCCTGGCGTTGCCGGGCTCGGAGGCGGACTGGGAGCCAAAAGACTATAACTATGCTCGGATTTTATCGGCCGTGGTCCACCGAGAGCTGCATCCGTCATTAGACGATCTCTCAGTATCACGTTGTTCCTCAGACATACGGCATTACCCCATTCCTCCTCTTTGGTGTTCATTAAGATATCCTGATTGAGTATCTACAATAAAACCAAATATTTTTTTAACTAGATTCTTAATTCTTAGGATAAAATATAATTGAACATTTTAAAGAATTCTATGGAAAAAATGTAACATATCACAACGATGGTAGAAAACTGGAAAATTATTTATTATAAAATTTTAAATTACATACATGTAGACGAACTAATTTGTTAATATCTTATTAGATTTCCTTTGGAAATAAATATCAATTTTTTGAAGAATACATAATCACAATGCTTTATAAAAAATATCTTGGAATAAATCGCCAAACTTTGAAAGCATATTCTATGGATACGAAAGAATTGATATCTACTTGACACAGGCACGTTATCTTTGTATTGTTATCGAGAAACACTTGTTTCCTTAAAGTCTGACAATCGGTGATTCGAGCAAGGGGAGAGGAACGAGCCGAGCAGAAATCAATCGTTACATGAAATTTCATCGCAAACGTAACGTGACGCGAGTCAATGGACACGGGAGGGGCAGCGTCCGCGTCCGCGTCCGCGGTTGTCAATGGTTGCCGCCCGTCGCGGCGAGGTGTCAAGGACCCCGCGTGCTTCTAAAATTATACCGCGAGTGTTCCGCGAGCGGTCACACGTAAGCGAGAAGGAGAAGGGCGCTCAAGTTGAGCGGTCAAGTTGAAGGTCGGCCGTTACCCGAGTCCATAAGGTAGTCGGTAGCAACGACTTCGCCTCCTTCTGCGCGATCTTCGCGGGCCCTACCGGGCGCGACCCAGCAATGCGGAACCCGGTCCCAAGGTCAAGACAGATCTTTTTGTATTGCGCTAACGACGAGCTGTTGCTACCAGCTATTCAGCTTCTCGCTTCGCTGCCGTCTCTCGCGCACAGTTGGTGTATACGCACGGTTTTCCTTTAGCCGCGGAACTTCCCCGTTATGCGCGGTTTGCTCTGTATAAGCAAATCCGGCTGTGGAATATTTGAACGATGATTTAAGCGACGGTACGCTTGCTCGATGTCACGCGCATTGGTAGCAGCTCAACGAAGATAATTTTCTGATGTAAGAAGCGTGGGATACTTACGTTTGAAGCAATTTCTGACGCTTGCATTCTGCACAGTGCTGCTTATTAACATTTTTTAAAGATTAATTTAAAAATAATAACTTTATATTGGTTCGACAATTTATAAAATTGTTTTTTATTTCTCATTTGTTTTCATTCATCCTCTCGTCTGCCTTTGTCTCAGTTTTTTCTATTCTTTCTCTTCGTTATACACCGTGGTCCCCCTAATTTAGATGGGAATGTAGCAATTTCCCGCAAGTGGGTAATTAGTTACAATGGAACCATTAGTAACCAACAACCCGGAAACTCAAATCTCACGAGCCGTCTTTGCTTTCTTCCACTACTGTTCTCTTCTTTCCATTACATAAATTTTTCTCGCATAGGTTTATCATTATACCGGCCGACATCCCCAGTATTATAATTCTTCGCGTACTAGTGACAATTAAAAAAAAAATCCGAGAAATTTGCCGTGTTTGGTCTGTAAGAAAAAAGAACCGTTTTATTCGAGTAAAATTAAAATGTCGTTTTCCCGTTCGACCGAACTGATTAAAATCGCATCTGGCTTTATTATTGATCTTTGAAATGTCTCGCATCCATAAAAATCTGCCGGCTACAACAATGCGGAACTCGATTCGCCAAGGTCACGCTCTTCCTTTTCCTGTTCCCTCCATCTTCCTCTCGCTCCTTCTTTTCGTCCTTTTGCCCTTCGTCATCGCTCTCCGTTATGCTCTGATCGCGCGGCCAACACTTATCTCCCATCCTTCCACGTCTCACTTCCGGCGGAAGCACGTCCGTAACGGGCAATCCTTCTCGTTGTCTTTTTGGAGATATATACGGCGGAGGATACACGTGCATCCTTTTTTGCGATCGTCCTATCCACGACTTTAAATACACACGTCTTATCATTCATTATCGTTTATCCATTGCGTTTGAATTTTCCGTGCACGTCTTCGCAAACTTCGAACATATATATTTGTAATCGTTCATGTGAAACATTATAATAAACTTCTTCGTGTAATGATATATTAGCAGATGCGACTTTTTCCTCATACTGACGTAACATATCTTTTAGCGATTTCTTCTGACGGGAACAATAAAAGACTATGACCTTTTCAACATTCGTACTATTTTTATCACTATTATGCAATTCTACTGTGGGCAAATTTATCGACATTATTTCTTTGCCGTTCGGATTCGCATAATAATCCGCTTTGGGGAAAAATTGCTTGATTCTCAGCTCATCGAATAATCAATTCTTAAAATAAATATATATAATTGATCTCTTTGTTAAATTATTTTCATAGATCAAAATAATTTCACATAGATAAAAAATTAAGTATCTATCGTACATTCAACTCATCAATGTTCGCGAATAAAGTTAATAACTCGATGTCGAATTTGCTGATTGATTAGTCTTGACAAGAGTTTATATACAAACAATATAACATGGGTCGGAAGAATATCGTCATTAATAAATTAAACGTAAACATATAATTAATTGTGAATTAGATTTGCATCGTCAATTACACTGGTACTATATTCTTCTCCAGTAGCGCGGTATTCCCGCTGATGGAGATCAGTCCGGCTGGAGGGCCGCGGCGTCTCTGATACTCTCCTCCGGGGGTAGGAATTCCGATTGAATTTTCTCCGCCGCAAAATTGCAACATAGCGATTGATATTAACTAACTGCGGCGCGCAACACGGGAAGTGGATCGAACTGAGTGGGGGTCCGGGCTCAGCAATTTTCGCGACGAGTTATTTCGCTACCGCGGCATTATCGTTTTGTCGTTCCGGCTAGGCTGTCCACGAGAAATCGCGCGGGGCCTCTCGCGCAATCGCTTCGATTCTTCATTTTCTCAAGAACGATTATTTATTATTATACGCCTCCCCGTTATTACGCGCGATCGTTATTACAAGCGCTATTAATACTGCAGCTAACTAATTGAGGCAAGATAAGGGGCGTGTCCGTTCGTTTTAGTTGCACTTTCTTGCGCTTTCTGAATTTAAATTTGGACGCGCACTAACGCTCCGCCCTGCAGAAAAAGGGAAAAATATTTTGTTCTCGTAGAATCTCTCAAGTAAAGCGACTTGAAGTTCTACGCGACCTTTCCAATAACCCGTGCGCCGTTATAGTCGGACGAAATTTCACCAGACGAACGCGCTGATAATTCGCGATAAAGGCGGCGCGGCCGCGAAGTTATGCCAGGTTATTAACAGAACTGACCTTTCCACTTGTTGGTTCGACGACTAAACTCCGATGCACGGGTCGAAAAGCAATTGTGCGCTGGTGCATTGAAGGCGCATACAGAGACGGAGACGCGCTCGTGGGTAATGCACCGGAGAGAATTGCAGTGGCATGTTCGAGCGGTGTTTCAAAAGCTGCGATACATATGAATGAGAACGAGGACCGTAAAAGCGTATTGTGTATGTAATGCGAAATAAAATTTCGTGCCGTTTCTATGCCGGTTAAGCACGCGTGACTTGTAATCGGCTGCTCGCACGCGTGGAATCGAGAATCGTGAGACGTGAGCGTTGCGTTCGATCATCTTTTTTTTTCTGATTTACCTGAGGACGAGAATTTTCGTGTGTGCTTGTATTACCGCTGTGCACTTTATGTTGAAGCGTAAGGGTCATGGCACGCAAAAAAAAAAAAACTTAAGCAGTAAGCAAATCAGCCAGTCAAGAACTTAAGGCATAACGTAAGCGATAGCGAATCCAAACTGTTGATTTTCTTACTAACGTTTTACTGTGCTTAACTTTTTCTATGTGCCAAGGCCTCAACACAGGCGCCTACTGACAATACAAGCGCAAGTGCGAGGTAACTGAAGCGATAATCTCGCGATCAACGCGGGAATTGTAAAACGTTACAAAAGAAACGACAGTGTCCGGCACGATCCCGTTCGACACCTAATGCACACCCGTCGCGTTATCGTCTCGACGGATAGGAGCGTAAATTGCCAATAAAAAAAGCGATAACAGTTCATGATAAATTAAATCCTCGATGAAAACACAGTCGTAAAAAATGCGACTTGACTTTTTTTTATTATGCGCATCAGCGTAACGTCCATGCATGCGCACGGTATCCCATATATCGCACCCGTAAAACAATCCGATCCGTTTCGCGATCGCGAGACCGCTTAAGCCTCGCAGCGCAGATATTTGCGCTGTCGGTGCGAAAACACCGGTGGGAAGGTCAACGGCACGCACCGGCCGAATATCTAATTACGCTAATGCGATAGTAACCCGAACGTACGGAATATCAATAAGACTGGCGGCAAACACACAAATATTTTCCCAACGTTTACTATTACTACACAGTGAAGGAAACCATCCGTTATGTGATTGAATTGCCCCCCCCCCCCTATTTCTCTCTCTCTCTCTCTCTCTTTCTCTCTTTCTCTCTCTCTCTCTCTCTGTGTGTTGCGATGAATTTCCGACAATGTCAGATTGTTTACAAGAATTTGCGGCTCGGTGTCCCTTACGTGTATGAGGAAAAGCGTTTGAATTGATTCAATATACGAATTCATTATCAGCATGTATTGGTTAATCGCCTTGCCTCAATGCAGAAGAAAATACTTCGGATGCCGATCAACCGATAGAGCGTTTCGAAGCTTGAATATCAAATATTTTATAAAAATACAATTTATAATATTTATGAGACACTTTTACTGTAATAATGCTATTGGAAACAGCTATTTATTGAAGCTAATTATCAGCGTGTGTTATATCGTATTCAGCTGTATTGCGTTTAAATTAATATAAGATATTCTATTTAATAGTTCTTTATATATGTGATCAATTTTATTATGCTATTATGTTATATGTATATATTATTCGACGGTATAAGTTTATATTTGAAAATATTTTAGCAACATAAATAATAGGATTCGCGCCTTCTTCGAAAATGTGCTAGGCCGCCTGTAGCAATCGCTATTTCCAATCACGAAGACGGACTTCTCCTATTGTAGACGAATAGGT